AACCCATGGAACGCCGTGGGACCACGACACCCGCTTGCAAGCCCTTTCACTAGAGAGAAAACTTAATGCCCATAAAATGGCACGACTCAAGGAGATGCATGCTAAAGAGCAAATGAGGGCCGGCCGAGTGGCGCGATGGTTAAGAACTCGCTTGGGATGCCAGAGGGCCCCGGTTCGGATCCCACATATGAGGGCCAGTGACACTGCCCTCCACAGCTAAGATGCTGAACAACAGCTCAACCTGGAGCTGGGCTGCCATGAGTCGCTGGCGACGGCGTGGGCTGCAGTCCCTGTGGCAGTGGATTGCCATGGGCTACCGTGTGTGGCCAGCAGCCAGCGTGAGCGGCCAGCAGCCGCAGTGAGCGGCCGTCCAGAAGCCGGCGACTGATCTGCCTCGCCCGGGAAGAGCGCAATGAAGGTGCCAACTTGGGCCAGTGAAGCAACGTCCTCCACAACTAGATTGAAGAACAAGATGACAGCAACTTGTCTGTTCCCCTTTCCCCAATTCCCCAGCACTGTTCACATCCCCCCAATTCCCCAATAAAAATCTTTAAAAAAAAAAAAAAAAAGAGCAAATGAACATTCCCCGCGTGCCTTTCCCACGCAGCTCCCGCCGGGGCCCCTGCCAGCAGCCACGCGTCCCCTCCAGGCGGCACTGGTAGCTAGGCAGTGCGCCCACGCCCTCTTCAACATTGAATAACAGACACAGCTTCCCGATACCAAATTTCAGAACAGTCATTCAGAGAGCGCAAACGTCACATGGATATCAACTGAGAACAAGAATTCTTTTAACTTAGCTTCTCAAAATAATTTAGGGATGACAAATGCAAGCGCTGCAGAGGGAACAAAAGCACTGAGGGTAAATCTGAGTCATTCCGTAACAACTGGGGACGTCTGAGCAGTCCGGCCACACTGGCGCGACATGGCTCGCGGATGGCACACGGCTTTTGCTGCATAAACAATGAGGGACTCATTGGCTGCAGGCTGGTGCCAACGACCTCAATATCACGGACTGATGCCACACAGACCGAGCCGTCATCTGCCCCTAACAGCAGACTGTCCCTCTCGTGGGTGAGCCGGGGCAGATCGCCATGAGCCCGGTCCCGGTGCTGACACACCGCCGGGCCTGTGTCGGCAGCAGCCCCGCACCCCATCACCGGAGGGCTGGGTGAGAGCTCTGCCTTGAGGTCAGTCTTCCAGCTCAAACAGAATTTTAACTTAAGGAAAGTTTTTGAATCCAGAAGGCATTTTAAGGACGATTTATTCTTCAGCCTTCCTTTCACAGCTCAGTTAAAAACTAAGCCCACTTTATGGATGGGAACTGAGGTCCTGGGGCCCACACACTACACTAGGGAGCCGAGGGAGCTTGTGGCCCCATGGCCCTGGCGGATCTGGGTGCTGAGGACCCCCCGTCAGCCTCCTGCCCAGCGGCCTCCTGGCCCCTCCAAGGTCACGGGCCACCGTGCACCTGAAATGGCACCGTGGACTGGGCTGTATGGACATATAACAAACAAACAAAGCTTAAAAAGTGACGTGTTCAACACAGCTGAGCACCTAAATGAGAGTTCAGGAGCCCTGAACCCCAGGACGGCGGTGGCTCATCCCCGGCCTCTGTGCTGAGGACACCGGTCCCCAAGTGGAAAGCTGCATCCAGACAGTGCCAGTAAGAATGTCTGTCACCTGTCAGTGACGCAGCTCCGTTACTGGGGGGACAGGAACGTTAGTTCTTCTCACCAAGGAGCGGGTCTCCTACACACCATCACCTTCACTCTGCTCTCTAGTCCAGAGACAGCTTACTGAGTCACTAGCAATTATTTTGTTTTCTTTCTTCAACCCCCAGCTTTGACCCCTGGCATCACCAGAGGAGTAGAAGGAATAGCAGTGTCACCAACTAGAGCCAGTGCCGAGTGTCCACTGTGCTGGCAACCTCAGGAGAGCCCACGCGCCCCCTCTGGTGACACTCCTGTGAATGGGGCTAGACCCCGTGAGCAGAGCTGGAGGGACGGTCATGGCTCTGATGGTGTTAGTCACTCAACCACTCACCACACCCAGGACACATGTGCTCCCTCCCGTGCTCCCCGAGGGGGTGCCAGGGCTGGCTGGCTGCTCAGCAACTATCGGCTGAATGAATGGGCGGATGAATGGATGAACAAACCCCCACTCTCCATCTACTAAAATCCCACTTCTTTAAAGTCTAACTTAAAAGGCATTGTCGGGCCGGCCAGGTGGCGCGATGGTTGAGAACTGGCTTGGGACACCAGAGGGCCCTGGTTCGGATCCCACATGTGAGGGCCAGTGACACTGCCCCCTACAAAAAAAAAAAAAAAGGCATTGTCTATGGAAATTTTTCTCTTTTCGAGGTCCCAGAGCGCCCACGGTGCTCCCAGTAGGGAGTGTGTCCTGTCGTACCATTTGTGTCAAATGCCCCCCTCACATGGGAGTGGCTGTGGGTGCAGTCTCTGAGCTCTCGCATTTGGGGGGTTACCAGGACACGGCGCTCGCTTCTCGCTTCAGCACAGGCCTCCCAGAAACAGGCAGGTGGGAGACACAGTTGAATTAAACGTAAGGTGCCTGGTGACTCCATTCGTGTCCTCATTCACTCGGCAAACGTTTACTGAGCTCGTGCTGCACGCCCGGCTCCAGGCGGGAGGGAAACCATGCCGCTGGCAGGGCCAGCAGGAGAGAAGGGACGAATTCAGGAGTCCCTCGTGCACTGGTTAAGTTAGGTATCCTTACTGCCTAAAGGAAACGCGTTATGATGACAGATCGTACTGAGGCGCGGCACCCCGCCACCAACAGCCACCAAAGGCGATGGCAGACGGAGATCAGACACGTTGTGCCTGAGGTGTGGGCTCCACCCAGAAGACGAAGAGGACAAATCTCTATCAACGGCAGAACAAGCTGCTCACTAAATTCTCTGTTTAAGGCAGATGCTCCCGACAGACTGCCCCTGAAGATGTGTCCTTGCTCTTTCAAGAGACACGATAGAACAAAATCATGGCGAGTCTGCAAACCACAGTCATGTGTGTTTCTAAGCAGTTTCCAAAGTCTCCTTAACTCACGATATGACAACCAAGTTCTCCGTATTCAGAATCAAGAAAGAGATTTACTCTCCAAAGTGACACATTTCTCTCAATTGACAATGAGAACTACAGGTGTCCCTTGCTGAGCTGATGGGAAGCTGCAGTAGCGTTTAGGGCGCAAACGCAGTAGCAATCTTTTTCCAGGTTCTTCCTTCTATAAAACAGTTTCAAAATCGAGTCACCCTGCTTTCCGCCTTTTACTATTGCTAACTGGGATCTCGCTCTGAGTTGGCTCGGTGTAAGTCAGACATAAACAGATGAAGAAAACGGTGTACGATGGCACAGTATCTATTTCCTGGGTCAAAAGATTTGAACACAGTGACGCAACCTGAGTCACAGATACATTTAAGATTGCTACCGTTATAATATACACAAATACGCATTTTTTAATTCACAAAACCTAGACATAAATATGATTCGCAATCAATACCGCCAAATAATTTAAGTGCGTTTTTAAGAGCTTTGAACAAACACATACAAGCTGACCTCACATAAAATCCCAGCGACGTGAGTCCTTCTGGAAAGCCCTCGTTCTCGCCTCGCGTTCTGTGCCTGGCCCCTGCCGCCCACCCCAGTGTGTCCCTCCTTTGGAAATCTGTGACAATTTGGCATTTTGATTATTAGTTGAGACTGTGCACCTCACTTTTTAGGAGAATGATTTAGGAGCCTGCGCCAGGAACCAGGTCACCAGGCAGATTACCAAACGAATGACAATTAACAGCACGGGAATGGGCCCCCAGAGCGAATGAGACCCAATAGTCACGTCATGCTTGTGTGAATCCAAGTGAATGTGCATGTTCAGTGAGAAAGTTAGTTTCAGAAGGTATTTATTAGTGGGCCGGCCGTGTGGCACATTGGTTGAGTTGGTTGGGATGCCCGCTCTGAGCAGCAGGGCCCCAGTTCGGATCCCACATATGAGGGCCAGTGACACTGCCCTCTACAGCTAAGATGGTGAACAACAGCTCAACCTGGAGCTGGGCTGCCGTGAGTCGCCAGTGAAGGCGTGGGCTACAGTGGGGCTGGCTGGCAGTGGGCGTGAGCTTTCAACTGCCTCAGCCGGGAAGAGCACAATGATAATACCAACATGGGCCAGTGAAGCAACGTCCTCCACAACTAGACTGAAGGACAAAAGGACAGCAACTTGGCTGTTCCCCTTCCCCAGTTCCCCAACGCTGTGCCCCTCCCCAAATTCCCCAATAAAATCTTAAAAAAAAAAAAAGGTATCAGAAAAAATAATGTGAAAGATTAATTACTGAATACATTTATATTTATTATTAAAAGTTAATAGACAGGCTCACTTTCTATATAAAAAGGTTCACTGAGAGTCCCCATTCACTGCATGTCACATGCTCCACACTCAGGGCAGAGGCCAGAGGGGGAACACACCTTAGCCAGGCTTCATTTGGGTTAAAAAAGAAACAGAGGAGGAGAAAGTAATGGCTACCACACTAAGTTCAAAATCTACAGTCTGAAGACTGTTTGGAAACAATACGCATAAACATGCAACCGTTGGTGCATCTGCAAAGTATTTTGATGCCTTTCTCTCATTTTACCTCATGAAGCTCAGAGCCAAGGGCCCCTCCACGGGGGGCTGAGGCACAGGGGGAGGGGTCACGAGCCGGTCCACAGCAGAGCTGACCTGGGACCCCGTCCACATGCCAGGACCTCCTGGGCATCAATTCAGTCCTCACTGCTTGTGGGAAACGCAGAACAGAAACCAAACGTCCCAAGTGCAGGAGCACTCAGTCTTGGGCCCACAGGATGCCCACCCACGGGGACGACACGTCCCAAGGTCCTCGTTCACCCACCCAAGCGAAACGCACACTCCAACAGCTCCCACTCTAATGGGTCTCCTTCTAGTTCTGTCCCAGAGCACGCAGGCCCCCTCTGCAGGCACATTAGTGGCATGTCACTTACGTGGCTTCGCGCCGGCCACCACGGCCAGGCTTTCGGGAGGGTGCGGCGTGGCGCCCCGGCTGTGCTCGCCTGCGCCCGTGTTACTGCCATACTCTAGAACTTCCACGAGTCCCAGCGGAACGCTCCACTTCAGCAGGTACCTTTGGCTGGTCGATGCAAGGGCGCTGCCGTCATGTGAGGCGCTGAAACGAACCACCAGCAGGTTTTTACTCTGTGAACAATCACACGAGGAAGCCACGACCCTCTTTGTCCCTGAGCTGCCCCGCGAGGGACACCGAGTACTCTGACTTTCTCACCAGTGGTTACCACCAGCTGCAACGACAAGGCCCCCAGTTAGATGACGGGGCGGGGGCTCCTGGTCTGACCCAGAGACGCGGGCCGTGCACTGACATGCCTCCCAAAAGCCCAAACTTCCTGCTGGCCACCTGAGCCACGACGCTCAAGCGTTCTGGCAAATGCTGTTAACGGGACGAATCTCCTGTGTGGGCAGGTACTCTGACTGTCTGATGTGGGTTAACTCTGACATTCCCTCTCACTCTTGGGTACAGGAAAACCATTTTAATAAGATAAAATCAGACCGCTAAATACCACAATTAAAATACTTAGTATGTGGAAATGAAATAGGAAAAATCCCGTGACCCATACATATTACTTTCTTCTGTTATCACACTTGGAACATACATGCAGGAAACACAAAACACACCTGTACAGCTGGGCGGGTGGACACCTGTGTTCCGGCACCTACCCAGGGAAGCCCGCCCCTGCAGAAGCACCGCTGGTATAATCACGCTTTGCTTTTCTTCAAATGTGTGAGTATATACATTGTGCAGATGCAGGAAGCAATGCCCAACGTGCCAGAGGCCAGCCCTAAACCGAAGCCCTTGACTCACTGGGAGCCCGTCCTCACCCACGCCACCACCTCCCACTGATGTCAGAGGCTCCGCCTCCATGTCTACTTTGGTCCCCATGGGAAGCGGAAAGGGGGAGGCACAAGTCGCAGTGAGTAAGAAGCGAAACATATTCTGTGAACAGGGGTGTGTGTTTAGACTCGCAGGTGCCAAGGGCCCTGCACCCAAACCGCTGTCCTCCTGTTTGAGCCTAGAGTCCTCAGTGTGATGGTGGCTGGGGTCTTGGTGTCCCCAGAGGCTGTACAAGTCCTTCTACAATGTCCTGAGAAGGTGGCGCTGGAACTGAGCTCTAAGAAGCTCCAAGACACTCACCACCGGCCACCTGCTGGGACTCTAAGGTCACGGGAGGAGGTGCCACATGTGTGGCAGCGGGCGAGCGAGGGTGACAGGCCCGGAACTCCTCTGTGTGCTGTGCTGGTAAACGCTACCAACCACAGCGGCCGGTCTCCACGGTGTTAACACTACCACTGCAAATGACTTCAGGCTCCAACAGTTTATTTACCACTGGCTTCAAGAACTCCTGGAACTGACGCTCACAGCCACTCTGAGCAGCTCAGGACCCCACTTCATATCCCACCACCTGCATTAGTTCAGTTTTATGTCAATTGCCTTATTTGAAGACCTTTGAACGTCTTAAGATCCTCAACCAACCACAGTGTCCTATGTGCTGGAACAGCTCTGATGTAAAATGATGCCAAGGTAAAGAACCGATGAAGTGTCCTTACTCACGTCCTTGGTTTACACTGAATATGAATACGCCCAATTTAATTATGTAAGAAAGACATCAAGGGCCGGCCGAGTGGCTCAGTTGGTTAAGAGCTCGCTCAAGAGTTTGAGCTCTGAGCAACAGCGGTTCGAGTCCCAGCCCGAGCTGAGCAGCCGCTGAGCTGCCAACAGGTGGCAGGATGGCTCAGCTAAAAACAAAAACAAAAACAAAACAAACAAACAAACAAAAAACTGGCTTGAAAGACATCAAAAATACATTTATAGAGAAGCAGCTAACGAGAAAGAGCTTGACAATGATCGTAACAAGAGCTGTGGGTGGCTCAGGGGGGTTAGACCAGAACCCCCATTTAGGTTCCAGTCCCGGCGTCAGCCACGTGTAAGCAGAACATGTGCCTACAGTTCCCTGATTTCTGCCCGCCGTGACCGGCAACCCCGTAGAAATGCGCTGTCTGGTCCGCCTACACGTCCCGAGTCACACAGGGGTGACTCTGCACACAGGCCGTCTGGCATGTGTGAGAAGTGGTGACGTCACCGCCCGTGTGGCCCACAGGCCGCGTGTGGCTCCACAGCCTCTAGGCAACGAAACAGATCCTTACCGGGCGCCGACCGTGGCACACATCAGCACGTCATTTAACATGAAGAGCCGGCGTTCTTTGGTTTTCGTAACTTCTCCTCTGTCATTGTAAACCGTCTCTATCATATCATCGGATCGAAGGAGGTACCGGTTTCCAGTGCTGAGAAGCTGAATATTCAAAGTCACACTTCACAGTTACCACAATCGAGTTTGTCAAAGAAAGGAAAAGGGTGACAGCGAAGTCTTGCAAAAAAAATGAGTAAACAGCATCCAAGCTGTACGGATGTTTTTCTTTAAAGTGGGTCCACATGCTCCCAGTCACACATCACGTATGTACTAGAGCTTAGAACGTGGCTTTTTTACTAAACGTTTTACAGACAGGGTTCCCGTTATTCTAAACAACAACAGGAATCTATTCCCCCGTGAACACGCTTCTAAGCTAAGAGATACCAAGTCTACAAACGAGGGCTTCACTTATTGTCACCTGTCACTCACATATTCCTTCTCCGTAAATGACTCCTCTGGATAAACGCTCCATTCCTGTCAGACTCTCATTCTGCCTCTTGTAACACTGTATCCGCCAGGGGTGTTTACAAGTGAAAGTGATACTTTGTAACTTTACTTTCCCACAGGATCGCACAGTTAAGTCAACACCTTGGCGTCTTAGGGTGCCAACAAAATACATTCGGTTCTCTGGAAAGGTGCTTTGTGTTAAGTTGCCAAACGACACGGCCACATGGAAGTCACTGTAACAAGTCAGCCGCTGGAAAACCCGGAACCGTCGGCCCGGACGAGCTCCACCGCCTTCTGGGTCTAACCTGTGCCTCCCTGACAAGCTCAGGTGCGGACGCTCACCAAGGGCCCACCACACTGCACCACACGGGCTCCCAAATACGCAAGTGCCACAGGGAAGCCCGACTGTAAATGGAAACTACCATTTAATGCCATTTTCTGCTCATAAAAATTCCTATGTAAATCATTTGCAGAATCAGAAGAAAGCCTGTTGCTTAAAATGTATTACGGTAAAGTCCTTACACAATTACTGAATGTCATTATATGGCAGCAAATTAACCCTACTAACAAAAACAAAAGGTGATTAGGGAGCAATGAATATTACATGTAATTATTCACTACAGGTCAGACAAATGAAGCCCTCTTTGCGGACCGGGGAATAAGAGAGTAAAGCCTACACAAAGGCAGGCCACTGTCACAGAAAAATGGCTGAAACACAGCTTTGCAAAGGGCCTGCCTTCATCTTGCATTGAGCATCACCTTTTCACAATACACGCTGCAAGTCCACGCACGAACAGGTACAAATAAGAATATATGTATGTATTTTATGCTTTAACTGTGAGTTTCTAAAATGAAACACTGCACTTCAAAAGCAAAACTCAGTGGAGAGAGCTCTCCGACCCTCTGTGGGGGCTCTAGGTCCATGTGCGGGCCTCATGAATCTGTGAAGAAACGTACACGGACTCTGAAGAGCACACAGTCTGCCGTGGGGACCGCCTGAGGCTGTCCATCAGCTCCCAGTCACGAACCCGGGCCAAGGGAGTTATTCCAAAGGTTCCAAGGGTTAGTAATTAATGGCTGAAAGAATCACAGCTTATTAGTAAAGCAAAAGTAATTTCAGCATAGAGTTGAGGAAACCTCTGTCAACCTTGTTCAGGTATCTCTCGTTGATGGCTTTGGCTATTTGTTTCATTTCACAGCGCTGGTCAGCGTCTCGCTTCCTTTCATTTAACTTGTCTGCTAATGTCTCGAGCTCTGTCAGAGCCATCTGAAGGGGCAGCCTGTCTGGGTGTCCTCGGGACGTGTTCTTCAACATGTCCTTTCGAAGAAACAAGGCAAAGAGTCACGTGACTGCTGAGGTGGGGCAGCAGGCAGCTACCACCACAAGCTCCCAAGCCCCCACACCCGCCTCCCCCACAGACTGGCAGCCGACAGGTGACAATGACATCAGCTACTTCTGAGAAGGATAATACACTAAGTGAATCACGATGTGGCTGAACACGTGAACAGCTCCTTTTGCAAAAACAAAATTAACTCAGTGAGCAGCACTGCTAATGAAAACACAGCACTTCCCAGTAAAGGACACCAAACATAACAATATCCGTGTTCTCGCCAGTTAGCTCTCGGAGTCGACTGGGGACCTGTGACACCCAAAGCACCGCCCAGCACTGCCCAACTAGCCTGCACCTGCTTTTACACACGTGGTGCATGAGGCGACTCTACCTTGGCTGCTGCGCGCGCGGTGACAGCTCCCAGCGCCCTGTGGCTTGCCTGATTGAGACTCACCCCCGCATAGCTAAAGAACTAACTGTCTAATTGGCTTCCTGGCACCGTTCTCCCTCACCATGCTGTGACCTCCCTAGACGCCGACAGTGTCTGCACATATTAAGAGCTCAGTAAGCACTTCTCAATTGAAGAAATAAAACACATTTTCTGGATATTTTGATTTGGGAAAAATAACAGCTTTTGTTATTAATACAAGTGAACAAAGGCTGCAAGTGAACATACATTGGAAAATATACGTGAATTGAAAGAACAAAATGAAAACTGACTATAAGCCTATGCACACAAATACCGTATTTGCCGGCGTATAAGACAACTGGGCGTATAAGACGACCCCCTAACATTTCCACTCAAAATACAGAGTTTGTTATATACTCGCCGTATAAGACTACCCCTCTTCCGCACACCTTCCACACACCAAATAAAAGGTAAAACAATATCAGATT